TTGAGTTTTACAACGCAAACAAACGTAACACAATATTACCGATGGCACATCAGTCTCACTTTAAGAAAAAAAAAACAAAGCTAGCACACATGTAAAATTATTTTTTCTGTCTTTTTTTTTTCAGACAAGCGGCAAAGGACGTTAAAGACTTGTGACTTAATGGTTATTTAAACTATTCCAATCCTGCAGAGTTCTGGGGGAAAAGGAATATTTGAAGCAGTTATTGTGGGTACGGAAGGGAGTTATTGTACGATCATGGCGTTGCCTATAGTGGCGTAACCTGAACAAAAATGAAATAAATCTGTTATGTTCTTGCCCTGTCGCCATTAGCTCGAACTTGAAGTCACTTTCCATGTTGCCACCGTAATAATGCAACCACTGGACACGACGGATGATGAGAAAGAAATAAGTAGGCGGAAAAACATACTTCGAAAAACACCAGTGCCTTCCTGCCGAATTCCGCCAGGTCGTTCGATTCACCACTATCTAAGTTCTAGGGAGATATTGTCCACCTATATATATAGAGTGGACATGTCCACTTTGGCAGAGCGCATTCAAATTCTCGAAAAAACGCGGAGCCGTGACGTCATGGCGCTCTTGACGTCGACGCACCGAACCCACCAGCACATTCCAAGCGTATAAAGAGAAAGAAATATGGATGAAAAGTACAGTGACAGGACTGTTAAACAAACTTGACAAGTCTGAACTTGCGTAAGAACGTGTTGAGATGCCTCGCCGCGGTGGTCTAGTGGCTAAGGTACTCGGCTGCTGACCCGCAGGTCGCGGGATCAAATCCCGGCAGCGGCGGCTCCATTTTCGATGGAGGCGAAAATGCTGTGGGCCCGTGTGCTTAGATTTGAGTGCACGTATAAAAGAACCCCAAGTGGCCGAAATTTCAGGAGCCTTCCACTACGGTGTCTCTTATAATCATACGGGAGTTTATGAACGTTAAACCCCACATATCAATCAAGAGCGTGTTGAGAAGTCTGGAAAACCATGCAGATAATGCGTGCGTCAGGCGGGAAGCTGCGTTAAACCTAATTCAAGGGCTAAAGTAATTCGTGCGAGTTCGTGCACGGCCTCCGAGATGTGCGTCCAAAAGCGGATCTCTGGGGGCAGCACTCGTTGCGGTCAAACGCATTCCGTCCTTCTCATTTGTGTCGAGAGTTGCGAAAGCTTCGAGACGTCTCAATGAAGTCGCGGTAAAATCACTGGGAACAACGGGCGCGCTGCTCGCCTATAGCTCCAGCCAATCAGTGGAGATAGATAGTCCACAAGACGGGCACTTCGAGAAACGATCGCCCCCTGATTGGCCAAAGTAGTCGGCCTAATACGTTGCCGTTGGAGAATATGGCAATGTGGCGCCATCGTTGGAGAATTGGGCTATGATGTAAAACAGGGCTGGGTATTAATTACTGTCAGTGCTATGCTTATCTTGTATCGACAATCCACCATTGACGACTTTCCAATCTTAGCGATAACTATACGTGCAACGCCTCTCGGATCAAATCGCGAACAGAAATTGGAGAGCGAGTTTTGAAATAGAGTCATCGCATAACATTTGCCAGGAGTAGTTCTATGGTATTGTAAAGGATGGACCCAAGAATATTCCTTTTTTATTTATTTCAAGTGCACTTGAGACGTTACTTCTGAATACCCCCCCACCCCCGATGTCGCATTATATCTGCGAGTAGTAGTTCTAATAGTGTTTTTAAGGGTATACCCAAACATTCGGCGTTTTTTTTTGTTCCTTTTTAAATGCCAAGTGCACGCGCGAGAAGTTACTCCTGAATGCCAACCCCCCCCCCCCCCCCCCCCAAAAAAAAAAAACCTCTCTTTCCGGGTTCTCAAAATTTTCTGGCGATCGCGAGATCATGCGAGAAGACGACCTTCCCGCGAAGGCACGCAGGGACAGAATTGGACGGCCAGCCTGCAGGTGTCCGCACTTCGTCTCAACACTTTTTTCTTTTTCTTTCTTTTTAGTTGGCCGCTCAACGGCGTAATAGGAGAATCGTGGCGTGTATTTTGGGGCGAAACGGCACCGCAACACGGGGAACAAACGGGCGACCGCAGTCGCCCGCAATGAATTTCGACGCTCAGCAGGGTCTCCTCTTTCTTTCTTTCTTTTCACGGCCACTTTTTGGGTCCGCTCTCCAGGCGCCGTTGCTGGCAACAAGGCAACGGCGCGACCAGGAACACGTTGGCCGAGGCGACTGCGTCATGCGCGAGGCGCGTTAACCTTGCGCGTGAAAACAAGGGGGGAAAATAAAGCAAGAAAAAAAAAATGACGAAAGAAGCGCAATACATTCTGATGGCCACCTCCAGCTATGTGCGAAAGCGAGCCGATTTATTTTTGCCGGCGCATCTTCTTCCCTCGCGAAGATGCCAGTCGCGGAGGTTTTTGTCAAAAAGACAAAAAAAAAAGTAGTGAAGCAACACGGCAAGAAGAGAGATGCGGGATCGGAGGCGCGAACGCCTCCGATCCCGCATCTCTCTTCTTGCCGAGAAAGCGTTCGCGCGATGCGCGCTGTGGCTTGCCCGACACGTGAGCGCCAGCGTTTCGCTTTCTTCTTCTTCCTCATCGACGGTTCGAAGCGCGGAGCTGCTCCAGTAATGATATTGACCCAGCGACGACCGTCGCCGAGGGAGGAGAAGAGCTCCGATCACGAACGCACGCGCTGCACAGCGTCAGCCACTTGCACCCGCCGATCAATTAAGGCGCCCGCTATAGTCAACGCTCACGCGCAAGCTCAGCTCGATTCGGCAACATGCACTGGGGGACATGGCGCGTCATGAGCGGGATAGTAGAGGAAAAATGCTAAATCCTGATTTGCCCGAAAGCCATCTCCAGCTTTCTTTTTTTTTATATGGCTCTTTCGAAAGGGCTGTACGACACGTGATAACAAGCATCCTAAGTGAATAATAAAAAAACAAGCAATTTGCAGCACTGCTAACTCTAATTACGCGATTCTTTAGATAGAGACTCCTTGATGGCTGCACGAGCCTTGCAACGTACAACTCGTAGACCAGACTTCCATCCCTGGCAGGGAAGTACAGCCACAAATCGCTTCAATTTGCTGTCCATTCCATACATGCTTTCACCAAGCTAAGGGCAAGTGCCTCCTCCTAATTCGGACACGTATTCACACAAATCTATAAAGCTAGACAGAGCTGATGATGAACACCTTCTCGAGGCCAGAACGCTTGCTATCATCTTGCATGGCTGGCGGAGGCTAACTTACATTGATAAAAAAATACACTCCCTCGTCAGTTCAACCAGAGGAAATAAATACTAAAGCAATAATACATGTTTAACCGGGTCAAGCGGCATGGGTGTAGCCAATAAGGCGGGCTATACGCTCCTGCATGTCAAGCGGTGACGCACGCCTGTCGCTGCTATACGGGCTTCTTGAAACACCAACTACCGCGTTGCTCAATGATTCCGCGGCTCGCATAAGCAGTCGGCGCAGCGATGTGTCCAGCCGCACAACGCGACACCTGACGGTGCCACGCTCAGATTGTCGCATCACTGCTGCCAAAATGCCTAGGCCACGTAATGCGCAATCCTGGGACTTGCTTTCGCGGGCTCCTTCCCTCTGCAAGCCCAAAACTTCGCAGCTTGCAAAAAAAAAAAACATTTAAAAGAAAGACTCGTGCGCAAAACGATCGTTAAAGACGCCACAAGGCCTCCCTGACGCGCGCGCTGTGGAGGAAACAATGCCCTCGATCGAGCCTTGGGGCAACGGTTCGTTATGCAAGCCGCACTCCCAGCCCCCAGGCCGCGCAGGGCTTCATCTTTCGCACGTTCGTCATCGTCTTTGTCATCCCGCGACCGTCGACACGCATCGGCGATTGCCAGCCGCAGTCGCCCTCCGGGGAATTTCTCGTCTTCCGAGACGAAATAAACACGGGCAAATGAAAACGCGCCAGCGCTGGAAACAATGGCGACGCGAAAAAAACCGCTGCGCCTGAGTCAATGCCAACATTATTCCACTGGGAACGCGCCCGCGGTGGGACATACCACGCAGCACCTGCAGCGGTGTACTTTATAGGCGGGATACGGATGCACCGTGTGGTTTATCTAGAGCTTCCTTTCGTCAGCCGACATCACTTTCCGAGTTACGTTAGCAGCACTTTCTCGTGGCCCCGCCGCGGTGGTCTAGTGGCTAAGGTACTCGGCTGCTGACCCGTAGGTAGCGGGTTCTATTCCCGGCTGCGGCGGCTGCATTTCCGATGGAGGCGGAAATGTTGTAGGCCAGTGTACTGAGATTTGGGTGCACGTTAAAGAACCCCAGGTGGTCGATATTTCCGGAGCCCTCCACTACGGCGTCTCTCATAATCTTATGGGGGTTTTGGGACGTTAAACCCCACAAATCAATCAGCACTTTCTCGTGCAGATTTTTTTTTTTACTCCACTTCGGTCGTCGCTAAACAGTTACCGAGCACTAATGAGCATTTTACCTCCGAGGCATCGACATTTGATGTTCGTGACAATCGACTGCTCAAGTCTGAGGGAAACTAATGCTGACTGGACCCCAACACTGATTAATCCGAGTGACACGCGAAATGAATGGTCATAACTCAAACTGCTTACGCTGACATGTACAAGGAAAATAACAACTGTGAACGTAAACGCTGAACTTACATTATACACTCGCGTTGAAAAGAGTCGTAATAACTTTTTTAGAAACATCGTAGTAAACTTTTTCGTACGTGCGAAAGTGCCTACGGTAGCACATTCAAGAGAAAAGAGAGTACGACGTACTTTGGTGTGCACAGGTATATTTTTCGAACGTTTTGACTGGCACCATTCTTACTTTAAAATGTAAGTTTGTCCAAGCTTGACCCACCAGCACCGACGCTATAGCAAAAAAAAAAAAAAAAGAGAAACGATCACAGCAACGTATGCCGTCGTACCTCCTCCCCCTTCTCTATATGCTAAATAAATGTGTCGCAAGCGCGATGTCAAAATAAGAGTGACTAAAGGACGAGCGACTCACCAGCTCATCTTCTCCGGATCGCATAGGAGACCTCTGTTGAGGAAACAGAAAACCATTGTGTAGCGCGACAGTCATCTTTACACCCTTTCCCCAACAAAAGTTCCGCACGACGACGGACGAGCGTGCAAGAGGTAGAGCATATACGGAACGAAAAAACAGACCACATCAGACCGTCACATGTAACGAACGATGAACACAATGCAGTACGTCACCACACCACGACTGAGAGACAAGCGGCGGTGCAGGCGTCCTATTTCATTCCGTAAATTGTAACCTGCTATCTGTGCAACAAAACATATAGCATCATGAAAAACTCGTTCACCGATTCTCGGGGCACAATTTGGGCGTGCCTTCAATGCAAACAATCAGGCCCGCACAAACGCCTGCGACAGTTCAGCGTACTTTTGAGTATCAGCAGCGCGTCTTATACTTGGAAGTGATGTTATACGCTCTTTGTTTTATCACTACATTCCCGTTCTCCTAGCTTCCCCTCATTCCAGTTCTGGGTAGCAAACCAGATTTTGCTGACCATGCCTCCCTCCCGCCCTTCCGCTCTCAAGATCCGAACCAATCCGCATGAACGGCGTTCCCCTTGTTACCTTATCAGTGAATCCCCACGTTCACCTCCCTTCCCGTCGTAGTTGCGCAGGATAGCAAACCAGACACTGCAACCTCGTTAAACTCGACTGTATCATTGCCTCATTTGTTGCATTGTTATTCGCACGCCGGCTGGTTCGCTCGATTTCGCCTCTCCGGCATGCACTGCACTCCACGTACAGCTTTTGTCGCGATGCCGGCTTTTCGACTATATAAACGAGGAAAATTCGAGAAAAAAAAAAAGCCCCCTCAACAAGAAGCAAGAAATGCGAGACACTGTTTCGCCAAGCACATGCGCCTTGTTCTAGGATAACATATCTGGAGCGCGCCATGGAAGCTCATCGCGAGACACCGCTTCGCGCGTCTCAGCAGATCCAAGAGGCCTGCAGGCGGCGCCCGCTGTCACCTCGTTTCCGAGTACGATCTTCTGAGAGCGCAGCACGTCCACGGCCCTCAAGCGATAGCGCCCCCACACACGCTGCCACACGGTGGCGGCGTCCAGCTGGAGCCACGGGGGCACGCCTGCCCAATGAACACACTGGGCGACCATATATGTATATGCGACGACGGCAACCGCGTCTGCGACGATGGAGGTCCTCAGCCAGAGTGCGCCAGACCGCTTCGCAGTCGCACGCGTCGATGTAGGCAGGGAAACACGAGAGTGGAAGCGTAAACATAGGCGTGTGCCCGCAGGATCTGGAATACACGCGCTTATGTAAACAAAAGACGCTTCCGCGCCGCAGCTCCCGGGAGATCTGTCCTCTTGCAAGTACGCACATCAGCGCACGATCAACATTTGCGCAGTTTACTTAATGGTTGTACATGCTTGCACGAGATGGGTGGTGATGTGGTCTGCATCTGAGAGCGCTTAAGTGCTGAACTACATAATGTGTGGAGAATGGTTAACGGCAACTCGGATCAAACTTATAACACACACACACACACACACACACACACACACACACACACACACACACACACACACACACACACACACACACACACACACACACACACACACACACACACTGAAAAACCTAATCACGAACAACAAAATCACTATTGTTGTGTTCGTCCAGAATATTTATTTCTTGTATTCTTGCCTCCAACATTTTTCCCTCTATATTATGCAGCTCCGTTAACATGTACATATACCACGAGCTTCACTCGAAAATGCGTGATGTACCATGGTGCGAATCCCGAACTGTGATCTCCTGCTTGCCAGATCTCCGTTGATGTGATAAGAGAGCTAAAGTGAGAAGGCGACATAATATTTGACACGTTTCATCGTGCCGTCAGGGTCCAATGGCATCACCACTTGTAGCATGCGAACTGGGTCGGCCTCTCCCCCGCGGAGCCAGTCGGCATCTCCGCGGACAGCCGGAGGCGAGGCGCCAACGAAGACGTACAGCTTGCAGGCAGCCTTGGGCGGCCGCCCGCGCTGGCTCAAGGGGGGCAGGCCCCGCAGTGCAGCCCCAAATGCGTAAGCGCTACCCCGCTCGGTATTCCCCCGGCCGACTATTTCTTCAATCAAGCCTGCTGGCTTTCCCGTTATCGTGAGTCTACGTATAGACCTCGATTCGGACCCAAAGGCAGTTGGGCCGAGAGGCGTCGCTTCCGCTGATTTGGAGCAGCCGGTTATTCGTTTCGTCCGCACATTTTTTTTTTTTTTAGCGCTCACCCCGCATAGCCGAGTGTTTTGTTTATTTTAGGCGAGGGTATACGCGATATCTCGGGTGCTGCGTCAGATACAGCGCTGTGCATACCGAGAGGAAGCTTCGATTCGACTGTACCATGTGCGCAGAGGAAAGCACACCGGCCAAGCCGAGTTAAATTAAGTATGCTGCATTTATTACATGAAGAACGACGACGAATACTGGGGAACTGTCCAGGAGAAGTTGGGGTCGCCATTATTTTACGAATGCAAATAATCGCACAAGATGCGGTTTTAAGCGGAGTTGCAACTTATACATATCGTATAGTCTTGCAAACAGTACATAATTTCAGTTTAGTGAACGCAAGGCTGTACGTTCGCAACGTGCTGCGCGCTGCGTTTAAGCGTTTATGGTTGCGTTCTACAACATTAGTTTACCGTGCGCAACATCTGAAACGTGTACAGCAGCTCAGCGTCAACCAAAGAGGTTATACTCTTCCTTGGCGTCAACAGGCCTGCCTTTGAGTAGAGTTACTGTATATGATACCTCAGTAACTCTACCTTTGAATCACGCCATCTCGTGGAGGAGCAAGAAGTTGTAATAATTGGCGACGCAACACACAAGTCAGGGCATGAGACAAGGCGATCTTTTCCTAAGACGAGTAGTGGTTTGAGGTGTTGAGGCTAAGTGAGCAGCATGAGAGAAGAGACGATCTGCTACTGCCAATTAAAGATTTATTATTTGCTACAGGTATTAGGGAGATTTAGAATTACGTTTGCAGGCGCTGTGGGCGTTGCGGACACCATGTGAGGTTTAGAATAACGTTTGCCCCCTCTAGGGAACAACCTAGGTACTTTAGCTGCCCCGCAAACTCAAATGCACGGAAACTGCACGTAGCCTCGACACCAGCGTTTGCAGGCCGCACACGCCGCCCTCTATTTCGGATTTTCTGCGGGCGGGCCGCGAACGCAAACGGCGGCTCGCGTACGACGCATGCGCAGTGGCAGCGACTACACCGCAAGGGCTCGCGGTGCGCTTTTGTAAAACTCCCTATTTTCTGAGATCACGAGACAAAAGAAAACAACAACAAACTGGGATTGATCAACGCTAAATACAAAAATGCTCCCATTGGCGGCGGCGTCATCACGTGTCATTCTTCCCGTCGTGATAGCCGCTTTCACAATGATGGGGGCACCGTGTGCGAGAAAAATACCCCGAGCCTCGTAGAACACGGAGGTGCATCCACATGAACGCTAAATTCACCACCAGAACTAACTTTTACTTTCTAACACTTGGAATGCTTTTGCAGGCGATCATTCGGACGTTTTTCCGGTTAGACACACGCAGCAACCACCGCAAGGGATCACACACAACGCCCCGTACATACACAACCCACAAATCCGTCACGGTGCTTCACGTCACCATCGAATTCCTGCTTTTTCGTAAATGACGTGTCCGGTCGTCCAACGTTGCGTTCGAGCTTATAGCCGCGATCCCAATCCACTGCACCTGTTCGCCCATTAGCTTCAGGTTAGTTCAAGATGCAGCGAAATTCACACGGACTACGTTGGCTGCCACGACCACCGTATAGTGTTGCCAGTCGCAGCCATCTTGCCTGTTTTGGTCTCGGCAGTTCGTGATCTCGCGAGAGCCGTCGATAAGGTACGCAACGGCCTTAGCGGGTCCAACGTAAGCGCCGAGATGCGCGCATCCCCTGTGTGCGCAAACGCACGCATCTCTCTTTAGGTTCAGCGCATGCGCACTCTTGCTTCCTCTCGCGCATTGCGTGCGCTATGTGGCGTTGCGCGCGCCAAACTAAAACTCTCTAGTATCTAACAGAGTATGCAGTGTTACGGCAATTGAAGTGCTATACGTACTTTAAACGATACCGTGTGTGTGTGTGCGTGTGTGTGTGTGTGTACTTTATGCGCACTTGTGTTATACGGCCAGAGATTGCGAGCCTATTGTTAGTTTTTTTTAAAATTCGGGGTCTTTATTCATGTTTGCAAAAACTGCGAAGATATAAATTTTTAATTAAGTTATGGGAAACAGCTTTTAGCAGGCACGAATGAGATTTTCGTTTCTTTCCTGGAAGAATGAAGTTCATTTACTGGATGTTCAATCAGGCTTAGCTTGTTCCGAGGAGAAAAGCGCGCTGAGGGCGACAAACGTAACTGAGCTGCACACACAAGCCACAGTGGGGTCTGCATCTCTCCTACGCGTGTCATAGCCCACGCGTCTTTAACCTAACAACTATATAGTTCATCGCATTCGGTCAAGTGTTACTGCATAATGAGAGCACAACCACTGAACTAAAAAGCTCTCTCTGGAGCGCACGTTATGATTTCCTGTTATCGAACACGCACAGGTCGCGGATTCGATCTTGAGAGGCTGCGACGTCCGCATATTAGGCCCGTTTCAGCGCCATCTAACGTTCAGTTCCTTAAAACGTTTGCCGTTTTCTGGGAATACTGTACGCCGTGCGAGACAACGTGCAACAGGAACGTCGGACGCATTTTGAGCACCGCCGAGAAGGTTACGTTCGTCTCGTCACTGACGTATGACTTGAAGTGCAATGGCGACACGAGCACATGGGCATTTTTCTTTCCCAGCCGTCTTCTCCCCCGACAAGGTCGTGTCATTAGACAATGGGCGCTGTCACACGTCTCCTGAAATGGAGCCAACGGAGTGCGAGAGAACTGCTTAAACGGAGATCGCCTTGGCGATGGCAGAAGCGGCGGCCTAATTAGCGCGGGTCGCGCTGCGCAGCCTTGGCTCCGG